TGTCTTTGAGTGTATAATTGGCGCACTTAAAACCTACGACACTACACATCTCTATAATACAGCTGAGCTGACTACTTGTCTAAGCCTTTTGTTTAAGGGCATGGATTTTAAAAGTAAATACGAGGTTGAAAATTGTAATACGGGTAAATTGATGAGCTGAACAGAGCTCCCCATTTGCGACCTCACCCCAACTCTCCTGCTCCTCCTTGGTTGGCCATTTTTAGACTGGCAACATTGCCAAGACTAAGGGATGTATTTGGATGAAAATTATTTATCTGCATCATAAATATATTTTTTAATATATATATTTTTTTTTATTTTTTAATTAATTTTTTTAGCATATATACATCACATGATAAAAAAGAATTCTATAGTAATTGTTTCAAATAAACTCCGATCCAATTCCAAATGTTTTCCTGTCAGAAAAAATTTTTGTAAAAAAATCTAAAACTGCCACCAGAAAACTCAAACTATAATGCAAACATCAAATTTTTTCGCTATCCACATTATTTTTTTAGGATTAAGTTTTTATTCACTATCAATGTAATGAATTTTTATACTACTATGTGTAGATATGTGCCGTTTATATAAAATGTGAATTTCAAATTTAAAATTAGATCACATGGCACACATCTACGCCTACTTATGTATACACTGACTGTATATAAAAAAATATATATCTTTTTTTTATGCATATATATCTTTTTTAGACACGTAATTTCAAGCACGCATGAGCAACACAAACAAACTTTTTTTTGTTTTATTTTTTTTATTCACCCCTTCCTGCACCATTTTCCAGCTAATACACACAAAATTGAATTTTAAACCTGAAAAACACAAATACACACTTTCTACAGTCAATTCATAATAGTAAAATTTAAAAAAAAAATTTTGTTCCAAACTATTCGCATTATGATTAAGTCGCAAACGGGGGGCTGATAACATGCAATTCACTAATGTTTCTTTTTTGAGGGTACAATTAGACTAGATTGACATCAAACATGACGGCTCAAAATTTCACATCACAAGTTATGATTTGTACTCCCTTCCAAGCCATGCGCCAGCTATTCCTAAATCAACACTGGGAGTCCAAGTCGAGCCATAAAAAGTAATTACGTAATCCCTTACGTAACTTGGTTTGCTCATCCATTACCCAATCTATGTCTTCCCCAATTATAGCCCACCAATTTTGGTTTCTACTGCATAATTCCAAATTGACGCAACGAAGTGTCAAGTGTGTCATTTACTTTTTTTTCAAGACGTTTTACTTACAATTTCTCTTACCTTATCATTTAGTACAATCTTTCCATGTATCCTTTTCTTTTCTAATTTATTAGGAAAAATTAAGTTCATATTGTTTTTATGAGTCTTATCATCCAGATACGAGTCACAAAAGCATAAGCTAGGTTTCAATGTTGTTTGACACCAAATATTTACCCTAAGCAAGTACTATTTGGTCTTTTTCTCTGGAGTGCATTACAGAATAATTGGAATACCTTTTGAGTTTGATTACCTAGTAAAAACTTGGGTTAATAACACTTTGCCCCCTGAACTTAGGGAATAGTTACACTTTACCCTCCTCAACTTTACATATATACATTTTGCTCCCATAAAGACTAGTCAAAGTTAAAATTAAAAAAAGTGCGCGTAATGACTTATTATCCATTTATTGCTAAAAAATATACATATTATCTACTGTATCAGTTATACAACAATATTAACTAAAAAAAAAACTAAATAAAGTTTAAATTTATTTTGTATCCTTAAAATTTTTTTGTCAATTACTATTCACTTTTATATATGCTTTGTTCAATTTATTATAATTTAAGTAAAAAAAGAATAAATAACACAATACTAAAATAAACATGCATACCAACTTTCTTTTTGAAAAAAGAGGTAATACTAAACTTTTTTTTTTTGTGTAAAAGGTAGTTTTTTTATTATTTAGTTTATGTGAACATTTAGGCTAAAACTATTCCCTAAGTTTAAAATTTGATTTAATCTCAATTTTTCATCTCTAAGTTTGAAAATGATATGTATCAATCAATTTTAGCAAATTTGATTAAGAATTTCATACTGGAATAATATAAACAAAAAACTAAAAAATGATATTAGTCTAAAATTAAAATAAATTAAAATGAGTTTAAAATTAGTTTGATACTAGTGTGAATATTCGTGCTACACACGGTGCTGACATTATTGAAAAAATGAAAATAAAATGGTGAATTAAAAAAGGTTAAAAAATTGTACCAACACAATTAAAATATAATATCTGTCTAACAATAGTTTGAAATATGATAGAATGTGTATATTATTCAAAAATTATCTTTTTCAGAAGATAGATCTTGAAAAAATAATAGAAATTTATATTAGAAAATGAATGATATATGAATAAAAATGAATGTAATTAAATGTTGTTAAAATAAAATACTTACAAATATGATGAATTCGATTTGATAATCTTGCATGAAGGTGTGAACACTCTTCACACCAATCAATTTTTAGTACGAAAATCAAAATTGGTGATTTAATTAATTCTATTGAATTTTGTGGAATGGGGTACTACAAATGAAAATGCACGATATGTGCATAAATTAATTCGTTGGTTGAACAACCTATCACCATTGTTCTAAGAATTAAGTAAGTGCGAAATTCAAAATTAGTATTTTTTTACATAGTTTATAAAAAGCATTATAAAAATAAACATATATAAAAAAATTCTACATTCCTTTGTAATTTTCTGAGATAAGAAGCATTACAATCAATATGAATTGTGCATATCTGTCATATATATTAAGATGCATGTTACCATTGGAATCTTTGATTTGTATGTTAACATTGTATCTGTTTGACAAATAAAATGTTATATACAATACAAAAAAATTTATTGAAATTAAAGGTTCATAAAATTAATTACCTAACAACAGTATCGACCATGTCATTACAATGCATACACACTGTTTTTGAAAAAACGACCTTCACATAGTTATCCACGATTTTTGCATAACTCATAGAGCGTGTTTTCTATGTTGATACTCTGAATGTAAGCAAGTATTCGAAAATATTTAACCTAGTAAAAATGAAAGTAGGTATAGGTTATGATTATAAATTTAAAAAATTTGTGCAGTAATTAAATTAAATAGAGTAAATTTACCGTACGCATGATTGTATATTTGGATATCCATATTCTCTTTAAATTTGCTATCAACAATGCCTGTGATGTTGTAAAATTATTTGATTTCAACCACGTAACTAATTTTTGAGCACATGTATCATTCTCAAACCTACAAGTTTTTGAAATATATGTTGATAAGAGTATGAAACAACATTAAAAGTTTGATGTAGTGTTACTGATGGAACTCGCCAACTACGCAGGTATCGAGCAAAATCTAAATTGTGATTGATATACAATTTGCTAACTTCGATTGTACAAAGTGATGGTCTTGCATAGTATGATTATATTCGTTAAAAAACTATTCAAATTATATAGAGTATAAGTAAAAGTATTTGATTTACCTCTGAAATTTCGTACCCAAATATCACATGCTAGTAAAATATTATTTTTTGTAACAGATTTATATTATAGGATTTGTAATATATTAAATAACTTGATACTCAAATCACCGATAAGACAAAGTTTGTCTAAATAAACTTTACAGTGTCTTAACTCCTTGCAAAAAAAAAAAAAAAACTAAATAGTCCTAATTGGCATTGCAAGTTACGGTAACGTGTCAGTGCCATCTAGGTCTAATTTTTTTTTGGATCAAAATATAGTCCTAATTGGTTCTGCTGTTTCTTGATCATGTTGTATGCTTGCGAATTAAAATTGTATTAAAACAGCATGTGAATGTGCATTTGTCTTTAATTAAGGAGTAAAAAGAATTTAAAATATAAATAACAAACTATAAACGGTTTATGAAATAGATTATGGAAAAGTTTTAAATTTTAAATTTGACTGGTGATAGGGTTGGTTATAACCCACTATTTTTTATGTATTAAAATAAATACAAAAATCTATAACCCATTACTTGTTACATTCTTGGGATTTTTTTTAGGGTTAAATATAGTAAATCCCTTAACTTTACATTTAACTGCACTTTATCCCCTCAACTTTACATTTAGTTACACATTTGTGATTTTTTTTTAAACATGATTGTAATTTACAAAGCTCATTTGTAGGGGTGATTATAGGGTTAGTGTGGTGACAAATATTTCTTAATTATAAAAATGTAACATTGTATTAAAATAACATACGAATGAGCATTTGTCTTCAATTAATGAGTAAAAAAGATTTAAAATATAAATAACAAACTATAAATGGTTTATGAAATAGATAATGGGAATGTTTTAAATTTTAAATTTGATTGGTGATACGGTTGATTATAACCCATTATTTTTTATATATTAAAATAAATACAAAAATTTAGAAAAAAATGAAAAGTTTGGAAGCCATTGAAAGGGTCTATACTAAAAATCTCTTCTGCAATACATATAGATATAGATATAGACGGTTTATGAATAACAAACTATAAGAGGGATTTAAAGTATAAATAATAAACTATAAACGATTTATGAAATAGATAGTGAACATGTTTTACATTTTAAATTTAATTGGTGATAGGGTTGGTTATAACCCACTATTTTTTATGTATTAAAATAAATACAAAAATTTAGAAAAAAGAATGAGAAATTTGGAAGCAATTAAGACGGTCTCTGCTAAGAACCCTTTTGTAATACATGTAGATATAGATATGGATTAGCCCAATTTACCTCGTTGTTTTCGGACAAAACGCTGCACAAACAGTCAAACACACACAATTCTTTTTTTTTTTTCCTCCTACTAGGCGTCCAAACTAGTGGTGGAAGTAGACGCCACCACCGCCTCCCTCCCTGAGGGACTTCTATTTTGCTGCAAGTATTAGGCCCGCCGGAGGCACTTGAGTTCCTCAATCAACGATGGCGTGTCATTAAACGAAGACCCGCCTTCTACCACTGCCGTCTTACGCATCTTCACTAATTCTTTCACCCTCTTCCTCATCGTCACCATCACTCATCAGCCTTAACACAGATGCCTCCACTTTCTCCCTCCCCACCACCATCTTCCTCTCCAATTGCCACGACGCCCATTCCTCACTCCCAACTGCTATTCCAATCTTCAACACCTGTCACCAACTTCTCATTGGCAAAATGCTTCCCTGAGAGCGGCCAGGTGATCATAGGCACCCCAGCACACACTCCCTCCAGAGCAGAATTCCATCCACAATGCGTCAGGAAACCACCTATAGCCTCGTGTTCCAAGATAAGCAACCGTGGAGGCCACCCTTTGATTTTTTTTTTTTTTTTTTTTTTGGTGTAAAAACCCTTTGATGATCAATCCCTTCTTATTTCCTATCATCCCCTCCTCAAGTCCATCCGGAAATTTATCCTTACCTGCTTCCTCTAGTGCTTTTCCCACCACCCATATGAACGGATGACCTGAATTTTCAAGACCACAAGCGATTTCATAAAGTTGAGTGGAGTTGAGTCTAGCTAAGCTGCCAAACCTTCTATATACAACTGAACTTGGTTTCTTGGAATTAAGCCAACACAAACAAATACGGAGTATTTTCATCAATAGTGGCCTTTTGACCTCTCTCTGTCTTGCCTTGTCTTCGAGATTGTTGTTGCATAAAGAAACGGGTCCAACAAGCCAAATTTTCTTTCGCATTGCATTTCTACAATGATCAACATAAGCTGGTTCTAGACCATAGAAACTATTAATAACTTGTCCAAAACTGTTCTGCTTTGCTATCATCATCTTAGCTGGAACTCCATTCCCCATTCGGAGAAAGGCGGGCGGAAGCCGAGACCTAGTCAGTTCTATCTTAGCAGGAAGACCCGGAATTCGAAAGGGCTCAGAATCAAAGCTGACTTCTGTATGAGCCGAATGCCATCTGAGACTATATTCACAACAGCTGGCAAAGCAACAATTGCCATTAAAGATGATTCGTGGAACTCCCTACTAGGTCAGTAACGTACGGCACCCAACGGTGGAAGGCATCGGCGACAATGCAGTCCGGGGCGTAGTCTTTGATGAGTTGTTTGAGGGGTTCTTGGAGAACGAAGGTGTCAGTGAGCGGCGGGGCAGACATGTCTGTTGTGCTGAGGCCGGCATCATCTGCAGGGTTTGAAAGTGAGGAGTTTGATGTCGTGCCCAGATTGCTGGTCTCTTCTGATTGATTTTTCAAAGACAGCTGCATCGTTCGGGAAGGTGATCATACTGGCTTTGACACCATGGCTTGAGACCAGCCTGGCCAGGTCGATCATTCGGAATTCCTCCACCCAAAAAGGGCAAAAAGGTACATATGTAAAATTTTGAGCATGGAACATCCTGGGTTCAACGCGGTAGACATAGAGTGTACTGGCTTGCCGTTATTTTGACACAGCTTCAAAACAAAGCAAATTAATATGCTTATCATATCCTTCTGCTACCCGCTAAAATTTCTGATCTGGTCTGATTCCTCAGATTTGCACAATTGTACAGTCAGTTTGGATTGTTATTTTTTGAAGTTTTTATAAAAAAAATATCCTATAACAATGTGATGTATATAAAGTAAAAAAGTGAAAGAGAAATATGCCCACTGAAAACCTAAAAAATTAGGCGTTTCATTGAGGTTATATCCATAACATGCACTCTCGGTGCTCATCAATTCTCTAGGCTCATAAGAAGTATATAATCAGGCACGGAGAAGGAACGAATCTGGGGATGCTCCCAAATGGTTCTGACGGCTAAGATACATAGAAATCACGTAGTCAACAAGCCAGGCATTAAAGCAGCTAGAATTCTTTCACGATTATACTTTGAAAATTCCGGAGTCACCATGCTTCACAACGTTGGGGCATATAGCGTACAGAAAGAACCACACCATACATGGCAAGCATTGCAATACCTTGACCTTCATGACAGCCGCTAGTTGAACTACAGTTTGTTCATAAAATATAATCTCACCATGGATCCTCAATCTCAATCTGAAGTTCCAGTATAAATAATTTCTATCTGAACAACAACTAAGCCTATGAAGCATGAATCTACAGAAATAAATTCCGACAGCTTTCAGAGTTTCTTTATAAAATGTACATACGAAATTTTGCCCAAATGCTATGGTATTGATCCCAAAAAATAATTCAGACAAACAATTGAGCTACTTTCTCGGAAACAATTCGGTACTGGCAGCAATATGCAGGTATATTCCATGTAAAGATACATCTTCAAAAGTCTCGCAGTTATCCAATCTGCTCACTGGCACGTCTTATCCGAAGAGCAGCTCTAACAATATCACCTCTTGTGATTATTCCAACCTATTATAGTTAAAGAAAGAGGACTGATCAAAATCCATTTACTTGATGAAAAAATGTAACCAAATCCCAATCGATACTAGATTGAAAATGCACTCTATCTTACCAGTTTGCCATCGGCATCAACAACTGGCAGTCTACGGTACTTGGTCTCAAGCAACAACCTAAAACACAAAGCCTCAAGTGGTTAGTACATGCAGGCATGCAGCCAAGAGTTGGGATTTCAATTGAATATAACCCCTCAATTAGGCTCTAACCCGTTCATAACATCAACACGAGCCATTTTGTTAACACAAAGTAAAAGTATATCATTTATACACTGTCGGTGAAGAATAAGATTTGCACAAATGCTTAAAAAAAAAGGACTTGCAGAGGACGTGCTAACTTCCAGCAAGGTGAGGAAGAATTGCAATATCAGATATTAACCTTTTCTTGGACTTAATTATTTATGAAAAAAAAGGAATGAGACTGAAAAGCTATACGAGATACAATGCTTGCAATTTATACTAACAAGCTGCAAGCATAACTTGGTGCAAGAAATTCAGGATTAGCATTAACCTTGCAGCTTCCTCAAGATTAGTACTTTCTTGAACAACAAGCGGAGAAGGTGTCATGAGGTCGCCAACAACTTTTCCGTTAGTTTTCCCCAGCAGTTTCTGTATCTCGCTGAATGTCTGTCACAATAGGCAATGTCATGCATTAGAAGTTCAATGTCCGGAATTCTTTCTCTAGTATGCCAAATCAAATGACTAAAACCATAATGGGATGCACCAGTTTTCTTTTTTTTTTTTTCTCCTGTCAAAAGACAAAAACACAAAACCTAGTAATTCCTTAAGCGCCAATATAGTTTCAACTTTCCCTGAATTAGGGGTAGCCATGAATGATTTGCTCCTTCCCACAAAACCCAAACCCCAAGCAGATATCCGTGCCCTTGTCTTAATTGATTTGCCTGCTCTGTTATGTGGATACGGAGAAATGTGCATACAGCTTACAACCAAGAAATATCAAATATGTAGCGCGTCTAGCATAAAGAGTTCCAACGAAAGAACAGAATGGACAAGAGGACCCAAATGCAAAATGCAGAGAACAGAGAATTTTTCAGTACCTTCCAAGTGCTATCAACAGCAGGAAACAAATTTGTGTCAGCTTGACTTCTACCTGTGAGAAAACATAGAAGTTCAATAATCATATGCTTGCTTGAGTAAAAAGTGGAAATCAGGAAGATGGGCAGCAACTACGCCAGATTCGTACTTAGGTTTCTTCTGATATATATGATTTGTTTATTTCTGCTTTCTTAGCCGGCACACATTTACTCGCTTTTCATTTATTGAACCAAACAAGGATCCAAAAACAATTTACCTCGCAGAGTAACTTGTAATGTACGAATTTTTTAAAAGTTGACTTTGGTTTTGAAACTAAAAGGAGTACCTGAGATAGAGTCAAGTGCCAACAAGTCATAATCGGAAACAACGCCTACCTGCAAGAAAGTTTCTGTCTCCATTGAATGCAAAAGACTTGCTAATATAAATGGGAAAAGGGAAAAGGGGCCTGAACTTTACCAACTTCCAATCATCATCTACCACAGGAAATCCAGTGATTCTTTTCTTGGCAAGAGTTTCCAGTGCTGCAAAATGCAACAAAGGAGGAGGGACAGGGTAAGTCACTGCATATCGTGCCTGTTAAAAAAGTGAACGAAGCAAGAGTAGGAAAATACCATCTTCAACAGTTGTACAAGCCTTCACCACATGTAAATCGTCTCTCCCAGTCATAAATTCACCAACCGTGTTAGTTCGACCTTTTGGCTGCAGATACAAATTCTCCAACTGTCAAGGATTAAAAAAAAAAAAAAAAGACACGTGTTTAATAACTCCATCTATCTCAAGGAGCAACCATAGCACGAGGATGGAGCAGAGCACTAAAAGATGATTATTTCAAATCTTTCCATGCCCAGCACTATGCCCGTTTTCTTTTCTACCCTTTTTTCTGGAGAAAGGCGTGGAGGATCGCTGCAATATACAATTAGCATCGTCTAAAGATGTGTGTGTGTGTGTCTGTAATGCATGTAAAAATGGAGAGGGAGAGGGGGTTGTGGATGAGGGTGACTCACAGGCATGGAGTTGGTTGTGTCGGAGTAGGAAGGAGCGACATCGGCAGGCCTCAGTGCCTTGGCGAAATGACGCCGGCGGTAGTGCTCAGTAGGAGGAGGAGGTAGTCGGGAACAGCCAAGTGTAGAGCGATACGAGGAAGGAGAGAGGCAAGGCGGAAACTGATGATCGACAACGTAAGTGGAGCTGATTGTAAAATAATTAGCACAACTAATCGAGCCCATTATTGTTTACTCAATTCCGGCAGAGAATGCAAACCCAAGGCCGATCAGAGCAGATGATGCGATTCTAGCGAAGGCAACCGCAAAACAAAAGGGAAAACACGCACAAATATATAGCTTGGGGAAGGCCGGAAAAGACGGAACTTAGCAGCAAAAATCCGAAATCACGAATTTTAATTAGAGTAGAGTAGCTTTGTTTGGTGAATCTTTGCTTGTTGAATGGTGATGTGCTTCGTCGTTTGTTTTTGTACAACCCAGCACCAGGAAAGTGTAACAGGCGAAATTTCTCACTCCCGCTAGCCAGCAGCTGAAGATGGGAATTTCGATACCACTAGCCTGCTTATTAATTTTTTTAAACTTAAGTAACTAAAATTTTAATCAACCCCTCAGAGAATTTTTTTTTTGAAAAAAACGGCTGCTGTATTTCCCTGTTTCTTCTCTACATTCTTAGTTTTATCCCGTAAAATCCCACACCCCTAACTCCTTATGAAAAAGTTTTAGCAATCTTCAATAAAATGTTTACCAATACGCGTAGTTGAATTCCTAAACACCATCGCTATCCTCCCCCTGTGATTATGATTTCTGAAAGCCAAGCGAACACCGCAGGTCGGTGGAAGTCTTTAACTTCCACAGTCCAAAAAAGCGGCGGCGGCGGCGGCAGCGGAAGCGGATCTCCACTGTAGTTGGTGAAAAATGGGGCCCGCACCTGAAGCTGTTCAACCCAATAGGCCAATATATATGGTCATTCTGCTTGCTTGTACCATCACCGCGACTTTGGCCACCTGAGTGACAGCTGCTACCATATATCTTCAACTTGTTTATTATATGGTGGGGCTGGTTCTGGCTGTGCACCCACCGGAAAGTGCAACTTTATGCAGTAACATCTATCTTCGATTGCGATGTTTAAAAGCGAAGTAATGATATGTTGTTGTAAAATCGAAAAAGTTATTATGGGTCAAGTCAGGTGATACTACAACATTAACCCTAGATAATCAGGGGTTAATGTAAGGAGTAAATTACTACGATCCAAGCCATTGACTATACATATCTTTCTTGAAATCGTGTGTGATTCAACTACACGCATTGATAACTTTTCGTATTGATTGTGATGTTTTAAAACTGCAAGTGCGTTCCAGAAGCCAACGCTGATTGTACTTGGAAATGAATGAACCTTGTCAAACTTGTTCGAGAGCAAACAAATTAAAGGCCCGTTTAGATTGTATTTTTTTTGAATTTTTTTTAAAAAAATTATTATTATAACGATTTAATATATGTGAAGTAAAAAGATGATAGAAAAATGTGTTCATGGAAAACGAAATAATTTTACACCCAAAAAATCGCAATACAAAAGGGGCCTCACTTACTTCTGGCCAAATCACCCAAAAGAAAAATATAAATGAGTTTTAATTGATTTCGGATCAAATATCACAAAATGATGAGTTCTTATTTTATTTTAAAAAAAAGAAATAAATAACATCTATATGGAGTGTTTTTGGTGCCTTCCTCGCCGTCAAAATTAGATTTCAAATCGTGAAGTGTTTTCAGAGTTTTCTTTCCTCTTAGATTCTTAATTCGAAT